CAGTTGTGCTATATCCTAAGGGAGGGCATAATTATTAATTAATAGACATAATAGGCCAGAGGAAATTTTGTACCCCTTCACACCTGTGCCCAGGGGCGACTGCCCCCCTCATGCTACGCCACTGAGTACACGTAGGGATGGCTAATATCAATCCTTCAAAAAAAATGCAAACAAGATAGTAGGAATGACATTTGCATCATCCCTACAAAATAGCACAGGCACACAGTGTAGTAGGATGTTAAGAGACAAAAACAGGATAAATTAAACTCAATTGTTTTAATATTTATATTTGTATATATATGTATATTGCTATACAATAATTAATACATGTTTAATCAGCTCATGTTCATTAAATCTCAATACTATGATGTATTCATGGAATTGGAATTTCATAAAATGTGCTAAATGATCAGTTTACATTAGAGAAAATCTCCAGCAGGTTACAAAAATGCCATCCCTACTCTCTGTTTGCATTATTTTTGAAGGATCGATATTAGCCATCCCTTCATTTAACTTCCTTTTGTGAAAAGTTTTTTCATCACTTAGTTGGTTTTTTTTAATGCAGTATTTCAACAGACATAGAAAGGTTGCATTTCTAACCAAGTTCTAAATATAATGATCTTACAACTGTAACATTTATTGTTTATCTATTATTGGTTGGTAATTCCTGTTTCACTCTGTACTTATGCTTTTTTTAACCTTTTCGAGACAGGTCACAGGTGAAAAACCATGTCATCTCATTTCTGACTCACATTCAAAATTTTATTGAGCTACTATTTCATGTATTTATGTCAATAAGTTTGATATCAAACTATAGATTACAATTAAAATTTTAGAACTATGCATTACTAAATTTGTTAATTTAAAAGTAAATATTACAAAACCACAGATAAACATTGATTTTTGGATGGTATGTTGAATGCAGCATTGGTTCAAATTATATGTTTGTGAAGTCAAAATACTAAGTCTATGGTTTCATACGAATTAGAAACTCTTTCTTTGTTTGGAAATTCGCACAAAGCTGCACGAGGGCTATCTGCACTAGCCATCCCTAATTTAGCAGTGTAAGACTAGAGGGAAGGCAGCTAGTAATCACCACCCACCACCAGCTCTTGGGCTACTCTTTTACCAACGAATAGTGGGATTGACCATCACATTAAAATGCCCCATGGCTGAAAGGGCGAGCATGTTTGATGGGATGGGGATTCCAACCAGCGACCCTCAGACTGCGAGTGAAGCACCCTAACCACATGGCCATGCCGGGCCATTTGAAACTCAAATTACAGATATTGACAAGCTAGAATATAAAATAAGGACTTATCTTTTCTATTTGCCAAGATATTGCTCACATAATAAATCAAACACAGTGGCACCCCACTCACCTCTTTACATTTTTGGAAATGCTTGTAATGTTTGTAAGTGTCA